GGTGCTCTGGTGCCGACTGCAGAATTGTGGCGGTCATGTGTGCCGCCCATTTGAATTGTAATTGTTGTTCACAGTTCACTTATCATCATGTTATTACTCAAATTATTGTATCTCATTTTGTCTTTTTTGCTTTATCATAAAAAATAGCACCTCCCTGCACCCCCTCTGGTCAAGGGCTAGGGGGGTGCACACCCCCAGTAAATCTATTCCTGCATGTATGTGCACTTTCTATATTGTGCTCAGGTATTTGGTGGAGCATGTTGTTGGCCACGTTGAGGGATCACAGCTCAATTTGTATTCATCAATAACTTTCAGAAAGACATCATAAAGGACAAGAGATACTATAATCTATACTAGTAATCCATGCTAAAATGTCTTCATTCTTCAACATCATCAGTTGGCCCTGCCCTTGGATGTTCAGGAAGAAGCCCTTTTTCAATTCTATATCGACATCTGAACTGCTGAAATTAAAAAGTAACATAGAATTTTTCACTGAGAGAAAATCTGATCACTTTATGTGCTGTTCTTTTAAAATCGTCTCTACCACCAGACAATTTCACTTGCAAACAGATAGGCATGCAGGCTAGTAAATCTTTAAATAGTCTTTCAAAAGTAATTTAACACTTACTGTAAAGAAAAATTATCCTAATATTGGGGGACTTTCAAAATTTAATATTGTGAAAACCAAGCTTTGGTGGCGCAATATCTTCCCCAGATATTGGACGCCATTTTGGCAAAGGTTGAATTGAGTATGGTCACTTCAATGCCAAATATCTCGAAAACTGCCGGGGGATCCCGGGGATCCCTCCAGCAGATTTTTAGTTTAGACATTTGTCTTGACTTTTTTGCAAAAATTACGAAAATCGAACCATGGGAATTCCAGATTTTTTAGTTTGAAAATTGTAAACAGACTCGGACTTGAGTCATCGAAAACAGGTTAAAAAATAACGTTTACCTCAGAAATTCTTGCACATATCGCCAGTCCTTTTATAATACTAAGGCCATGGTTGCATTTTGATAGAAAAATTTGAATATTTATATATATTTTTTGAGTTCTTCTGTGTCCAATGCAAATTTGACGGCCAAAATTATTCGCCAACACGATGGAAAATAGAGCGATCTCATTGGTCGAGAGCTCACGTGACAACTCGCTAATTAGCTGTCCAACCTCCTCTGTTCCATTAATGCATTGAACTCCGAGTCGGTCGCTTTCTTCCATTGTGTGTTGTACTCATTAGACCAGGCTTCCGAAATATTACGGGGTTCGTTTATATCAGCACAGACATACATTTCTTCGTATCTTTCAGGTGCTCTTCGTTGTCTTGGTTGATTCAAATTTTCCACTTCACGCATAAAGTTATATCTTCATACCTAGCTCCCACTCGATTGTTATTCTCTTGGAGAGGAACATTGTTTTTCAAAATCGGTTGAGGATTTTCTTCAGCATTCATATTTTCATCATCAGTTTGAATTTGAACTTGACCAATTGGTAGATTAACTTGAGAATCTTCCTTTGCTGGGTAGTAGACTTCAGAATTTGATTCAGAAGACTGTTCGCATTTGAACTTATGGAAACTTCTTTCTTCAAATATAACATCTCGACTTCTGATGAAAGTCTTGTTTGTCAGGTAATACAGTTTAAATCCTTTAGTACCATCGGGATACCCTACAAACATGCACCTTCTGGATTTCTCTTCCAGTTTCTTTCGTTGATGATTAGGAATATGTACATATTATGCCACACAGCCAAATACCTTTAAATTGGATACATCTGGTTTGCGATTAAATAGGCATTCGAATGGTGTAGCATTGTTCAAAGAATTAATAGGACTTCGGTTTCGTGTATACGTTGCAGTGTTCACCGCTTCAGCCCAGAATTCTTTAGGCATACTAGCTTGATACATCATCGAACGAGCAGCTCCTAGTGGAGTACGGTTCATGCGTTCTGTGGTACCGTTCTGTTCAGGGTTGTTCGGAACTGTTGTTTGATGTAGGATTCCATGTTCTTTCAAGTAATCCTTGAACGCTTTGGAGCAATACCCGCCGCCATTGTCCGATCGTAGAACTTTCACCTTCTTTCCAAGAGTATTAACGTAGCTCACAAACTCTTTAAATTTCTCAAGGACTTCATCTTTACTCTTAAGAAAATACACCTGTGTATACTTGGAATAGTCATCGATAAATGTAACAAAGTATTTTGAAATCCCAAATGATTTTACATGCATAGGACCACGGACATCTGTATGAATGATTTCAAACAGTTCACTTGCTCGGTGTCGGGTATCTTTTGGGAATGGTGTGCGGTGTTGCTTTCCCATCACGCATGATTCACATAATGATGATTCTTTACCATGGTCAGAACAGTTCATTCCTTCAGCCATGTTCTCATTGATCAATTTAGAAATACCGTTCATTCCTAAATGTCCAAATCGACAATGCCACAAATTCTTATTTGGTGCTCCTCTCGCAACATTGATATACTCCACTCCAGGAATAATCATCAGCATGTACAGCTTACCATGCAGCTCACCAGTAGCTAGCAGATTTGAATTTCTCTCTATCTTGCATTGGACACCATCAAATTGAATTAATGCACCTAACTTTCCCATTACTTGGACAGATAACAGATCCTTCTTCAGATCAGGTAAGTACAGAATTTTCTTGAGAGCAATGTTTTGGGTACGTCCGTTACCCAAATCGGCTACAAGATTATAAGTTCCTTTACCAAATGCAAATATAGTGCGATCATCGCCAATATTCACTTTACAAGGTTGCTTAAATTCAACATAATTGACCAGTCGATTCTTTTCAGATGTCATATGTTGTGTGGCACCTGAATCTATATGATCCAACCACAATTGCTATCATCATTAGAAGTAAATAAAGCTTCTTGATTGGTGACCTCGTGAACATCTTCTTGCTGTTCTCCTTTTACAACATTAGCAAACTTCTTATTCTTTGGATTTTTTTTGGGGCAGTCTCTTGCAAAATGTACTCTCTCATAACAAAAATGACAAAGACCATGAAAGGGTCTTTCAGATTTCCCATCGCCTTTCTGATAATCCTTTCCATAAGACTTTCCATCACCACCTTGAGTGTTACCATGTCGGGACCATCTTTTTCCTTTTGCGCCAAAACCACGCTGTGCAGAAAAAGCATCTTCATTCTTTTTCGTATCAGACTTTCGGTCGACATCATTCAAAAGTATTCCTTTTACTTTTCATATGATAAATTATTTTCTCCAACAGCGTCTAAAGCTGTGATCAGAGGCTTGAATTCTTCAGGAAGACTACCAAGTAAAGTCATCGCCAATTCTTTATCATCGACATTGATGCCCATTTCCTTCAGTTGGTCATGGAGTGATCTCATATTGTTTATATGCGCTAACATGTTGCCACCACTATGAAATTTACAGGTATAATATTGTTGTCGCAATCTTATTTTCTGTAAAATCGATTCCCGTGCAAATTGATTTTTGAGCGCATCCCAGGCTTCTTTTGCAGTAGTAGTATCTCTTACGTGTATTTTCTGCTCAGACTCAATTGCCAAGCAAATGTACGTCCATGCTTTCTTCGAAGCAGTTCTGAAAGCTTGTTTCACAGCATCAGTAGGACCTTCTCCAGGACTCACAGCCGATCCATCGACATGTCCGTATAAATCCAAACTTTCTAGGTAAAGCCGTATGTTAAACGCCCAATTCCGGTAGTTAGAACCGTTCAACTTCGTAATTTTCAACGCAAAATCTGATGACGTCGCCATATTTTCATCGAATAAATTTTCGCATAAAATACCACATAAACATTATTATTTCGCCAACACACTGCTCCAGGATGGTTTCGAGTTTTCCTGGGCCCATAACCTGTTGTTTTTATAGTTTTAATAATACGAATATGAAATAAAATATGTACAATCACATGGTTCAATAGTTTATATACGCGGTGTTCATCTTCGAAGTATTGAGAGGAAAAGTCACGTGATTCTAAGCCAAAACTTCATGTAACAATATTATAAATGTATCATCACAATATATCATATAATCTAACAGACACAAGGCATAGGAACGTAGATTCTAAAAATACAATTCTCAGACTGGCCCAAATTCAAGTCTCTGCTACAGGGACCTTGAAATTCAATAGAACGCAAGCTTCGAAACCGCATAATATTAACTTTCACGTCAGTCTTTTTCGATTATGCACCTGGAATAAACTGCTTCGTATCTTCACGGACTGTCTTTTGATACACGAGTAAGGCATCGACAGAAAACCTATGGACCGTAGATTCTAAAAATACAATTTTCAGACCGTGACAAATTCACGTTTCCGCTACAGGACCTTGAAATTCAATAGAGCATCAGATTCGAAACAGCCCAAACCCTAACCCTCACTTATATAATACTAAGTTTATCGTCTTTTTCGATTACACAGCTGGAAAAAACTGCTTTTTATCTGCACTTCCGGCCTAGTGATGCACGAATGAGGCATCGACAGAAAGCTTATGGATCGTAGATTTCAGGAATACAATTTTTAGGCTGGCCCAAATTCCAGTTTCTGCTGCAGAGGCCTTGAAAATCAATAGAACGCAAGGTTCGAAACCGCATTATATTGACTTTCACGTCTTTTTCGATTATGCACCTGGAATAACCTGCTTTTTATCTTCATGGACTGTCTTTCGATACACGAGTAAGGCATCGACCTGGAAATTCAATAGAACATCAGATTCGAAGCAGCCCAAACCCTAACCTTCACTGATATAATACTAACTTTCACGTTTTTTTCGATTACACAGCTGGAAAAAACTGCTTTTTATCTCCACGTCCGGCCTAGTGATGCACGGGTCTAGCTATTTTGCGGGCCGCGGGCTGCGGGTCAGTTTTTGCGGGCTGCGGGTCAGTTTTTGCGGGCTGCGGGTTAAAACAATTGCGGGCCGCGGGCCAAATTGCTGGCCTGACTATTTTTTTGTTGCATGCCATATATGGCATGTAACTTTCATTGGTGAGCGTACCGGTCACGTGGCAAATTCGTAAAATACGACAAATACCGAGTTTTTCCGACGAGCATTTCATCACTCATGCTCGATGAAAGGCAAAGAGAAATGTTTGAGTGTTCGCGGGAAATTTACATAATTGAGCGCCTTTAAAAATAGATAAAGGTAGATAAAGCTTTGCAGGCTTTAATTTTCCTTATATTCTGTTATTTGTTGTGATTCTGGAGCAGTTGTGCTCGCAATAAAATATTAATCATAAAATGAATGATTATTTATCAGTCGTTTTTAATATTTATATCTACGCTATCAAAATACTCATTTTTTTATATATGCTCAATATATACTATATTGTGTGCAAAACTTCAAAACTACAGTACATTTTGTAAATAACGTGAAATATATTAAAATATCAAACAAAATTCTCATTATACTATTGAAATTTAATACAACAAAATAGTATTCTACGTCGATAATTTCAATCATAGTTTAATAATTATTTTCAATCTATGGTAATTCGCCGTTTCCATGTTTTTTTTTATACTTTCGATAAAGCTACAATAAAGCTAAATTTGTAGGAAATAACATTATTTAGTTATAAAATAGTATAAAAGGAAATCTAACAGTCAATCGCTTTCGATAAAACCTTGACCTTGTTTATATTACCGTCGTTTGCAACTAACGATGAACAGTCGCTCATAAAAACATTGCCTATTCGCGTGAGAATCTTAAGTTTTCTTATTTTGACATAATAGCTATTTTTCAATAAATATATTGATATTAAACTTATTGAATCAATATTTTAAGTTTCAGGCCAGTTGTAGCAAAAGTTATAAGCGGTAGCGCATTATAACCAGGGCACAGAAAGGGTCATACAGAAGCCCAATTTCTTGGTTTTTCCTATGATTTTCCAATGATTTTGGCGGTTAGCACTTTTTTCCATCCAGCAAACCGCCCTATCGATTTTCTAAAGTCGTTTTTTTTCCATTTTTTTATTAATTCGATTAGGGTTAGAGTTAGGGTTGGGGTTAGGGTTAGGGGTTAGAGTAGGGACTAGGTGTAGGGTTTGTGTTAGTTACATAGCCATTTAAAGGCCGCTTTCCACTTCAACCGTATCGTACACGCGTAAAAACGCTCAGGTTGATGCAATACTGATGAAAACAGGATTGAACAATGTTTTGCTGCCCACATTGTTCATAGCTGTCAACAATACTGAACAATATTCAGGCTCAACAATAGTGTTCAATATTGTTGACAAGTGTGAACAATGTGGGCAGCAAAACATTGTTCAATCCTGTTGAGCAGCGGGCTCGGCGTTTTTTGCCGTGTACCGAAACGTAGCGTATTTCTTTGTTTCCTGAGCGCTAGAGTGGAACTAATGATTTCAACACAAAAGAAAATGCTACGATACGTTCGAAGTGGAAAACAGGTTTAACACCTCTTCTCTCTTCCGAAAATGACGTCAGGTCAGTTTGCTGGATGGAAAATAGTGCTACTATTAGGATTGGTGTACAGTTATCCCGGTCGAAACAGGTTTTAATGTCTGGTACGACTCATAAACTGAGATTCCATGATATTACAAAAAGAATGCATTTAAGGAAAAATTTGTATGCATATGATTACGAATAACATTAGACATAGAATATACTTCAAAGACAGAAAATTTTGAATAATATTGTTATTTTCTTTACATTTTGACAATATTTTTTAAAAATTCGTCAGGCCCGCAACTAGACCCGCGGCTTGCAATCGTGTTAGCATTTTTCTGCCCGCAACCCGCATTTTTCGGCCCGCAGCCCGCATTTTTCGGCCCGCAGCCCGCAACCCGCAGAATAGTTAAACTC